TATGACTCTTTTTGATGGACGTTTTCAAGCACATGCGAGGTCTGGATGGAGTATATTGAAAGACTGAGAACGAGAGGTCATAGATTTAAAGTGATTTGCAAACTTAACAAATATGATGTGACGAAAAAGATTTTTCACACAGTGAATGGTACAGCTGTGGAATGCACTGACTGGAAGTGTAGGGAGACCGAGTCAGTTCAAGAGGGCAATGGGTGAATATTTGAATGGAAACAGCTGTAAGGGTATAGGGGAAAAGGCATGATGTTCATTGGCGAGCCAATGCCCACACAATAAGCTGAATGGTCTCCTGGTGATATTTGCTGTAAGAAGCTTTCTGCTGCCTCAGGCCACTCTAGGCCCATGGCTGAGCACTTAACAAGAAGGACATAAAGGTGAACTTTATTTCTTTGGTTTTCTACCTTTATATTCTATGTTTTGGTTTACATGATTTAAGATGGCACTGGAGACTGGCGACACTGTACAACACTATTCACTGTCTTTTGTAACAAAATACACCTGACAAAACTAAATCTAATCAAATCAAACCCCTTAGCTTTGTGACACTGGTGTGATTCTGGGCACTGTCAGAGGTTCTACCTTCTTCATCAAACTAAAAATCTGGCCCCCATCTACCCTCACAAGTGGCAAGAAAGATTCCTTAGCCACTATTGGTTGAAAAGCAGGGGGAGTTGTCCTGGGCCAGTATTTAACCCTCACCCAGTGTCACCTGAGTGCTGTGTGTGGGAGCTTGCTGTGTGCAAATTGTCTACTGTGTTTCCTGCACAATGACACTGCTTACACTGTCAAAGCATCTGTATGCACAGCACTTTGGAAAGGCACCAGTTGCAAATTATTATTTGCCGATTTACATCTAATATCTCTATCGAGATCTCAGCAGACCCTCAATAGCAATTAGGAATTAGAACCCTGACAAATGGGGGAAGCTGCAGATGGAGAGGGCGGGGGCATCTAATACTTACCAAAGACTTTGGTGAGACTGGGCAATGTCAATCGAGAATGCACACACACATCACACACATGCTACACACAAGATACGCTACACACAACACAAGCATGGACAGAGTGGCCTGGACAGAGTGGATGTTGGGAAGATGCTTCCATTGGTAGAAGAGACTAGGACCCGAGGGCACAGCCTTAGAGTAAAGGGAAGACCTTTTAGAATGGAGATAAGGAGAAACTTCTTCAGCCAGACAGTGGTGAATCTATGGAATTCGTTGCCACAGAAGGCTGTGGAGGCCAGGTCATTGAGTGCATTTTAAGACAGAGATAGATAGGTTCTTGATTATAAAAGGGATGAAGGGTTACAGGGAGAAAGCGGGAGAACGGGGATTGAGAAACTTATCAGCCATGATTGAATGGTGGAGCAGACTCGATGGGCCGAACGGCCTAATTTCTGCTTCGCTGTCTTATGGCCTTAAGCAACATGCAACATACACACAACACACATGCACACGTGCAGGCGCACACGCACGCGCGCGCGCGCGCGCACACACACACACACACACAGAGCCAGAGACACACACACACGCACACACGCATGCGCATGCACATACCTACACACACATATACACATGCATGTATGCACAAACACAGATACACACACACACGCACACACACAGCCAGACCCACATACACAAGCACA